TATATATATATATATATATATATATATATATATGTGTGTGTCTGTGTGTGTATGCATGTATATATATATATATACACAAAGTCATTTTTCTAGTGATTTTATTCTGTAGGAGTATTGACACTAAAGTAAATAAAACAAACAAGTAAAATCTGCAATCTGTACACTATATATAACTTATTTCATAGACAAGGTTCACATAGAGGTCATGAAAATTGTCTGCATTTAATACCGTTGTGGAATTAATTAAATATCTTTGCCTGCTTTTTGAACTAATTTTGGATCAAGACTAGTTTCAGAGAAAGACATGAGAGGCTTAAAGGTGTAGCAGCCATACCAGTCAATGGAAAAACAAGAGAACATCCAAACAATAGCTGATCTACTCTATTTTTATAGAAGTGTTATGCATGGTTGCATCTATTTTTATAGAAGTGTTATGCATGGTTGCATCTATTTTTATAGAAGTGTTATGCATGGTTGCATTTAGTTTTATAGAAGTGTTATGCATGGTTGCATCTATTTTTATAGAAGTGCTATGCATGGTTGCACACAGAAAAGGAAGAACACTCAAGAAACCTTCAAAAGCACACCACTGGAACTGTTGCTGGAGCAGTGAATGCCTCTTACACCCCAACCAAGAGCAGAGTCTGTCCAGATTTGACCCAAACCTGTAAGAAATCAATGTGGCGACTTCTGAAGCAGACTAGCCAGTTTGTACGGGATGAGATCCATGCTGCCCTTGTTCCAGAAGGCATGATCCATAAATAAGTCTGCACTAAAATTTACTAAATTCAATTCAAGTCATTCACTATATTACTGCCACTGATCTCACGCAACTGGATGTTCATTAAACAAACTCATTTTCTGTTCGGCAGAATAAAGGAAGTCTTTAGGTTTTTAATGACATAAAAAAATGAAAATGCTGTCATTTACTTGTCCTTGAGTCGACCATCAGTCTTATTTCTCAACCACCTGTCATACAGAGACGGTTTAGATGTTTTATTTACTGCATCACCGCACCGGCACATTAGGAAATGCATCTCTCTTAAAGACAGAGCAATGAACATGAGAATTAACCGTGTCTGTCGGGCTAGTTTTAGCTGACACCTGCCCTGTTCTGAGGTGCTGTATATGAATCAGTCATCATATCGGCTCCTGCTCCACCGGTGGCATCGCTCAGGCTCAGATCCTCCATCACCTCCGCCAGTCTCACTTTCCACAGGGATCTTTGAAGCATCTGTACAGGCAGAATGATTCTGATAAGAGCACAGTGAGAATATTCATTCAAGAGATGCGTCGTCAGTGGTGTGTTTCTACACCTCTGAAGATGTTGACGTTCTTCCTCAGCATCTCATCTTCCTCCAGGTCCTCCAGGAATTCAGTGTATTGTCTGTGATTACCATCAAACAGGCCACAAGTTAATCAGAAAGATTAATGATTGATTTACATTCTAAATTGACGTTTCAATTATAATTTAAGCTGTTTTGTTATACTAAAACGATCATTTTATTTTTTAATAAAGTCTTGTTAGCATGGTTTACTTGCATTGCATGATCGTGTTAATTCAGTCCGATGTTTTGGAAGTTATCAAGATACTGGTGTGCATGTAAATGTGATTGATAAACAATATATTTTTACAGAATTTATTAATCAATTAAAATTTACATGAGATTAATAAACGCCGCAGAAGCATTGTTCATGGTTAACTAACATTAATAAGACTTTATAGTAAATTGTTGTTCCAATAATTAAATTGTTGATGTAAAAAACAACAACATCATTTACACCCTAGTCTCATAACCGAAGTGTAAATTCTGCAGATTACATCATTGTCCAGTATTGCACTGTCAGCAACTTATGAAAAAAACAGCGGTTCTTCGACATGGTGAAAACTTGAGGCTACAGCAGCTCTTCTTCTTGGTATTCTCTGATGCACTAACTCTGCAGCAGCTCTTCTTCTTCTTGGTATTCTCTGATGCACTAACTCTGCAGCAGCTCTTCTTCTTCTTGGTATTCTCTGATGCACTAACTCTGCAGCAGCACTTCTTCTTCTTGGTATTCTCTGATGCACTAACTCTGCAGGAGCTCTTCTTCTTGGTATTCTCTGATGCACCAGGCATGCGTCTCCTGCGTGTACCTTCTATCTGACTTGCACGACTGCTTTCCAGAAGTCTTTGGCCTCCACCCGATGGCAATCCTCACACATCTGAGGCTGAACGACGAACTCCACCACGAACACCTGCTGCAGAATGGCTCCATTCATGACCTACAGACACATCAGCCTCACTGAAACACTGTCAATCTGGAGTCCGCTCAGTCTAGAAGTCTCCTACACTACCTCTTTCTGGATGGTCAGCTTCATCTTGATTCTTTTAGAGTGCGGCTCCGTCCATAAGAAGCCTGCATCGATAAGTCTCACCTTGAAGGTAATAAAAGAAACGCGATGTGAACTCAGCATCAGCTGTCCTCGATTCAATGATGATTCTGCGAGTTACTGACCTTTGCCACAGAAGCCTTGAGTTTCTTAAGGCACAGAGCCAGAAGCTCGCGGGACTCCAGAGCGCACTGGAGCCACGTCCCCGGAGGCTGCAGGTACCTACAGACACACAGGTAACCCTCGATTAGACACGAGCACACACTTACTTTTCTAAATCCATATTCTGGTTAATCCTTCAGCTCCAAAAAAAAAAAAAGACGCCGACATGCTTTAGAGCGATGCAGTGTTCCTGTACACACGCAAGCATATTCCGAATCAACTACAACATATATGTTCTCCTCTGGAAAAACTGGAGAGGTGTTGCCTATTCATTTTTAGCAATTTAATCAAAACAATGGGTCTCTTCAATAAAAACTGAATTACACCGTTGCACAGATTGGCATTTATTCACACGAGAGAAGTTGAGGTTGCTCTCCCTTTGGATGTTTAAAAAGCAGCTAAAACGCTGCTTTTTTTTATAGATTCTTTTGCACTGCTCAGTTTGTTTTTAATGTCTGTCATTTATAGGGTTGCAAAGGGGTGGAACATTTCCAAAAACTTTCCAAAAATCCCTGGCATATTCCAAAAAATCCTGGAAAGTTTCAGGAATATTTCCAAAATTTACTGGACAATTTCCACCTTTTTGCAACCCTAGTTATTTACTTTGATTCTCTTCATATTTGTATTAAAAGTCTATGTATAAACTCTCATTTTAACACATTTAAAAGGCCGCCAGAGTATGTGATTGTTGCATACATGTGCTTACAATTCCTAATTTTTTTTAATTGATTCTTTTGCACTGCTCAGTTTGTTTTTAATGTCTGTCATTTATAGGGTTGCAAAGGGGTGGAACATTTCCAAAAACTTTCCAAAAATCCCTGGAATATTCCAAAAAATCCTGGAAAGTTTCAGGAATATTTCCAAAATTTACTGGACAATTTCCACCTTTTTGCAACCCTAGTTATTTACTTTGATTCTCTTCATATTTGTATTAAAAGTCTATGTATAAACTCTCATTTTAACACATTTAAAAGGCCGCCAGAGTATGTGATTGTTGCATACATGTGCTTACAATTCCTAATTTTTTTTAATTTTTCATTTGGAATACATTTAAATATGCAAGTTATTTTTGAATCATGATTTGATCACAAAATAATTTGTACGCGAGATGTCCCATTTCGGTGTCTGCATCAAACGAAATTTCCAAAAGTGATTTATTTATATACACAGAAAGCATAATAAACGAAAGTTAAGTGTCTGCTTTAATGTTCCAAATAACTTCTGTGAAAACAAAATGCCAAAATATGGGTGAAATAATGATCCATCGTCATTCAGCATAACAGATATATTTATGTAAAAATGAAATAACATTATTCTTACCACATGTAACGGGGCTGACGAGACGTGAGACGTTCGGATCCAAATGCAAAGCTTTAATTGGAGAAGATACAGACGTGGTCAAAGCAGGCAGGGTCAAACAGAGGCAGACAGGTATATGGTGGGCAAAACACAAGAATAATCCTAGGGCTAGCGTGGGTCGATGAACTGCAGACAGAGTCACAGGGGCAAGGCTAAAGGGAGGAATCCAGGAAAACAGGCGAAGATGCAAAACCGGAGAAAACAGACAAGGCTAAGGCTAAGGCAGGGAAACAAACGAGGGCTCTGTAGTGTCGCTATCGCTAGGGGAGTGATAATCACTGAACAATACTCGGACCAGGGAAGGGATCAGAGTGAATGTTAAATAGTGAGGGAGTGATATGAAACAGCTGGGTGCAATCAGTGTAAACAGGTGTGTGCAATTCGTGCTGAGTGCAATG